AGGGATCGATAATCCACATATCTGCTTCAAGAAAAAACACTTTAGAGCTAACTCCTATCTTCAAGATCTACCAATGGAAAGCGTAGAAAAAAAGATAAAAGAAAAGAAGAGAAGAAACCAAATTTAAAGTGTGTGGTTATGGCTAGTAGTTCTTTCGTTCAGTTTACTAAAATTGTATTAAAAAATATTAATTTTATTTATTTAATTATTAAAAATAATTACACATGTCCCTTCGAATCTAATAATATTAATCACATTGAATAAATGCATCTTCATTATCCTTGGCAATTTAATCGTGTACCATATAACATTGTTTAAAAAAAAGATTAAAAATAAATAATAAATAATAAATAATAATATTTATTATTTAATAAACTAAAATTAATTTATAAATTAATATTTTTAGATATCAAAATTATATATTTAAAAAGTTATAAACATTAATTAAATAAAATACAATTTTATTAACCTTAATATATGAGTTAGTGACCATATCTACACTTTGGTAAAAGAAAAGGATTGGACCGTACAGAAAAGGGGAAGGTCAAAAGTGTAGTTTTTTATTTTTTATTTTTTTGTTTCTCGCTCGTTACTTGCGGCTTCGCCTTGACTAATTCGGACTGACTCGAGTTACACATCTAAAAATAATAGGTGAATTTCCTAACAAAAACTGTTGCATACACAAAATCTCAAATTCAAAATCTTATTTAAACTAAAACAAATCGTTTATCATTTGATCTAATCCCCCGTTGCTAAAGGTCAAAAGTGTAGTTTTCTAACAAAGAAAAGAAAAAAAGAGGACAGAGAAAGCCATGGATCAGGGTCAAGCGAGCCCGAAGTGGGGCCGGGGAACAGGACGGGTCAGATCACAGGTGGCACTCCCAATCACGGCCCCCCGAGTCATTCCTGGGCCTTGTAGATTTTATGGCCTTCTACATTTCAAACTTCTGGATCTAGATCCAGTAATGAGATATAGGCCCAGGATCAAATCTAGGGTCCAATAGGCCGAAGCGCAGCCGCAGTCTCGCCGCGAAGTCATTTCAAAAATAGGGGAGCGCTCAAATCGTCGTGGCGGTGGTTATTTTTCCCTCTTCCGATTTCCTTCTTCATCTCTTTCCGGAAAATCAAATTACACTATCTTCCTAGGGTTTCTTCCGCAAAAGCTCCATCTGTTCGCTTCGAATTGAACGGTTTGGGGGTTTTAGATTTCGGATCTTGCGGCTGTGACTGAAAGCATCATGTCAACATCCACTGTCTCGATAACGGCGAACCCGGTCGCTCGGCGGAGGACCGCCGTGGCCGGCGGGAGGAAATCAAGTATCGAATTGGTGCCTGCCGAACCCACTCTCAATGGCGCTGTTGTTGGGGACGACAAAGGAATCGTCGGTCCAAGTAGAGATCTGAGCCACCGCTCGATTCGCGGCGATGCCACTAAGGATTTGCTTCAAGCCAAGAATCCTGCGCTCGCCCACAACTCCACGATTTCTCCCCGGCGGACAAGCAAAACGGCGACGAAGCCTGAGAAGCCGCTGTGGTTGACGGTGCTGAGCATTTTTGCCAAGAACTTGGTTCTTTTGTTGGTTCTGGCTGGATTGGTCCAGATAATTAGGAGAATGCTTCTCAGACATGGGGAATCGACTATGCTCGGGACAAATATGGGATTATCGGAGATAGAGGGCAGGATTGCTGAAGTTGAGAGTTTCATGAAGACCACAGCAAAGATGATCCAAGTTCAGGTAGATGTTGTGGATAGGAGAATGGATGGCGAGATGGGTGGATTAAGGCGGGAAATGGATAACAAGATCGAGGACCAACATACTATTTTACAGAATGCACTGAAGAACATGGAGGACAAGAGTAAGGAATTGGAAAATTCCATGAATGAATTGAAGAATGTAAATTGGCTGTCAAAGGAAGAGTTTGAGAAGATGTATGAAGAGCTGAAGAAAGGCGTGGGTGAGAGTGGTGAAATTGAAAATGATGTGAGCTTGGATGATTTGAGAGCATATGCAAGGGAGATTGTTGAAAAGGAGATTGAGAAACATGCTGCCGACGGGCTTGGGAGGGCAGACTATGCCCTTGCTTCAGGAGGGGCAATGGTTGTCCGTCATTCAGAGCCATATGCGGCTGGAAAAGGACTTAACTGGTTTTTGATTGCTAGCGGAAATGGGGTTCTCAATGATGCTGTTAAAATGTTGAAACCAAGTTTTGGAGAGCCAGGACACTGTTTTGCACTAAAAGGAAGCATTGGGTTTGTTGAGATTAAGCTACGGACCGCTATAATTCCAGAGGCTGTTACTTTGGAACATGTTGACAAGGTAATGCATTTATTTTCCTGTTTGGTTTGATATGCTATGAACTATGAAGTTGTTTCTTTTACCTTTCAGTCTTCTGAGGTTATGACGGATGATGCCATACAGTGATATGGATAGTTTTAACTTACCTTAGAGTGACCCTGAAGTTTTAACATATGATTGATATTAGTATGTTGTGTGTGAATATACAGAGCCTATAGATATGTATAGTACATTGTAAGTTATGGTAACCTGTTTATAGTGAATTAAGAATATACTCCTATGGATATGTATAGTTTGCAGCATGGTAGATAGCCTTTCTTCTGTTACAGTTATATTCAGAGCCTTGAGTATGTGCTGTGTAGAAAGCTTGTCCTTTTTTGGAGTTCTGATAGATTTCATGTTCCCCCAAATGTGTTGTTTTCTTTCAGTGAGAAAATATCAGGATTTATTCCACAACTATGCTTAGAAGTTATAGGTTATAACACAAGTTGAAACTTCAACTATGATGAATGCCTTTCCACATCCTGGCTTGGCAAGTTGTGGCTGTTTTACCTAATTGGTTTTCCTTTAAGCAGTGGATTTTCATGTTGATTGCATCAATGTTTGAAGATTTATTTAAGTGACTATTATTTAGAAGAAAATTTTCTGTGCAGTCTTTAGAGATTTGAACTATGCTATTCTCTTTCATCATTGTTATTGTATCACCATTTTAGTCTCAAGTATAAGTGTACCTTAGGTTTGTTCCCTTGATATTCATTGACTTGGTTTTCTTTTGCCATCCTTCTATTAATTATGGTGTAAATTGTGGTTGAATGGGTAATATGAGGAGGTTGGTAGTTGGTTGGACAACCTTATATTCCTCTTGCTGATTAAAAAAAGTATATAGTTCTCTTTCTTAGATCTTGATATGTCTTTCATATTTTTTCAAAATTGCCCATTCTTAAGCTTGGATATATAGTATGCCAAAGCATAAAAGAAGAAGTGAAATTAATCCCCTAAGTCCCAATCCCCCTAAACTAGATGGGTTCAGCTGCAAAATAGGCAAGCATTTTCAGGTGATGGATTTCATGCACTTTATATGGAAAAGATGAGATGAAATCTTTTTCGCTAAATATTTCAGTTGTTGCTTAGAAGAAGTATATATTGAACTTATCCTGAAAGGAAATATTGTTGTGCTGTCACCATGTTAGTAAATATCTTGTTTGTTAGGTCTACCTGTGAACAGTGATAGCCTTAATGGCCAAAAGAAGGTAAGAAACTGTTTGAAATTTGGCCTCAGTCAAACTCGTAGATCAGTGATGTATCCCCATGATTCATGATTTTTCTGCTGTTGACTCTTGCTTTCCACCTGAAAGGCTGAAACACCAAACAAGCAGGGCGTAGAAGAGAAATTTTGATTTTATTCACTATTATTATTAATAATATTATTATGTTTTTAACAAAATTATTGTGAACACCCCCCTCCCTCCTGAATTCCTTTTGTTTTTGCATTTCCTTAAGCTGCAAGTTGTCTTGCAGGTTTGAAATTCATGGCTAATTTATTATTATTATTATTTTTATTGTAATACAAACAGAGTGTTGCTTACGACAGATCAAGTGCTCCCAAACACTGCCATGTCTCTGGGTGGTTACAAGAACGCGATGGTGGTATATCTGGAAAGATATATCGTTTGGCAGAGTTCACGTATGACCTAGAGAGGAGCAATGCACAGACCTTCAATATGTTGAAAGATACTGGTATTATTATTGATACAATCAGGCTAGATTTCTTATCAAACCATGGAAGCCCTGCACATACCTGCATTTACCGCTTCAGGGTACATGGTTATGAACCCGAATCAGTTTCAGTGATGGCAACGCAACCCTAAAGAAAAGTTCAGAAGCTGTCATCCCTCTTGTAATTGCCCCCCCCCTTCTTCCCTTTTTCATTCATTGTTTAGATCCTGACGAGAACTTTAGATACTTGTCAGATTTTCTTCCTTGTGTATGAAATGAATGTTTATCTACTTATGTTTGACAAGGTAGGCTGATTAAATCGAGTGCCACGAACTGTATGAACTGGGAATTAGTAAGCTCTATTCTCCTTGTTGGAAAGGTTTGATATTCCTTGATGGTAGCTTTCTAGTTAAAAGCCGGCCCTAGTCAAGGTTCGAGGGAGCGGAGAAGCAGATTCTCCAATGGTCAGCAGTGTCCCCACATTTGTATAATAGGATGAAACAAGAAAGGATGGGACTGGGGGATATAAAACTCCACTGAGGAACGGAGGGACTGAGTCCCAACCAAAATATGATGTCTTTAGAGACAGCCAGATGGAAAGCAACACAAAGTTGCTCTTTATTGGGAAATTCTGCGCGTTGTCCTGAAAGGCAGGAACCAACACTCACCGTAAACCGGGAGAATGCCTGCTTTTCTGCAGCTTGGACTGTTTTGATTAATTTGGTCTTAAAGCTTTCAACAGTTTGACCAATACTAACGGTATTTTTAGTAAAATTTATAAGAATTTTTATTTTTTTTATTGTTTATGAGTGATAAATTTAAATTTTTATTAGAAAAATTTAAAAATTATTTTTATAAATAAAAAAAGTACTAAGTGAGTAAAAAAAATTTTATAAAAAGTATAAATTTAAAACTTTTAAAATTTATTGTTTAAGATTTTTTTAAATTAAAAAAATTTAAAAAATATATAAATTTTTTAAAAAAAATTTACCTTCATAAAATACAAATAATATTAGAAAATTAAAACTCTTACAAATTTTACCAATCAAGCTCTAATTTCGTAACCCCAGATGAATTCAATTCTTTATAACACAAGAAACTCTTTTTTGCAATTTCTTACCCAAAATCAATAATAACAATTTTTTAATGTAATTCTTTTTTTTTAATAACCTAGTACAGTATCTTAAAAGAAATAATAATAATAATAAATAAAGAAAAAGTAGAATGGACCACGGACTAAAATAGTTGTAACCGCCGAACTGGTTAAGGGGCTCTATAACTTTTTAACGTTCAGTCCCAAAAAGAAGTGACAAGTGGTTCCTTCAAATGAGTTGGATTATAACGCACACGTGGGGGTCCACCTACCCATTGCCATTTTCTCGTCCACTCTCCTTCAAAGTTCAAATCCCCAAACACAAAACCCCTCAAGATTCTTAGGAAAAGAGAAGTGCAACCCCCCAATTCATCTCTTAAAATAGAGAAAAAAGAGGAGAGGTAGATTCGTTTTTTTAAAAAATATAAGGGTAAATTATTTTTTAAAATTATAAATAAAGATAAATTATTTATTTTTTAATAAATGAGTTAGTTTTTTAATTAAAAATAACATATGATGTTAATTTTTTTTGTTAAAAAATACTTACTTAACAAATAAAATTTTAACTTTATATGTTATAAAATAAGTAATTTATTTTAATTTATAATTTAAAAGAATAATTTATTTTTAAATTTTTTTAAAAGATAAAACTTTTTTTACCTCTATGTTTAAAGGGTAAACTTAAAGATTTTACCATGATAAAAAAATTGAAACTTCTCCGCAGAAACGATTCAATTCAAACAGAGAATTTGGATTTTGAAAGGATATGTACTTCGAATGGAAAATTTGAGATTCCATCCCCATCTTTGACCGTTTCTTTCCATTCAATTTTCCCGAGAAAATCAACTCTTGGGGGAAAAAATAAAAAATAAAAATCCATTTTCTATTGCTTCGAAAATACTCCACATAAATAAACAACTCCAAAATCCAAAATCCCAAAGGCCGGCCCACTTTGCGCGTAAATCTATATAACCTCTATGCTTCCGTTTCTCGTTGAAGACTCCTGAGTCCTGACTACATTTTTTTTTTTTTGGTGAATTCGATACTATCAGTTTTTGGAAGACGAATTTCGCCCCCCGCCCGACGGGAGTTCTCAGTTCTTGATCGACTCAATCTTCAGGTTCGTGCGTGATCAATCGCCTTTCCTCTCTCTCTCTCTCTCTTTTTCTGTGTCCTCTGCACATTTTCTCGAGAAAATCGATTGGAGTTTTCTTCTTTTGTAGTCTTTCCTGAATCGCCACCAACACTTATTCATTCCTCCGTTTCTTCTCTTAGTTCAATTCAATGTGTTACAAAGTAATGCATTTTGTTTCTGCGTTTCGGAACCGGAAAGTTTTCTATGATTAACGGGGGGAATTCGAGTTTCTACCGTGAGCGATCTAATGAAACAGGACATGAAAAATCAGGTTTTTATAAAAAAAAAAAAAAAAAAAATTAGATTTACTTTAAATTTTTCTGCTTTTATTCTGTGTGGTTTGTCCTAATTTTTCTTGTGTTTGTTCTGATTTTTCAGAATTTGATTCGTAAAATTTTCACTATGAAGGGAGGAAAGAATGGAAACAGACAGAGTGAAGAATCATTTGATTCCTCAGGTAAGTAACAAATTAGAAGGAGTAGCTTCACATCATTATCTGTCTTCTTTGAGAAGACAATAGTAAATTGAGGAAGAAGACGGGAATTTGGATAGTATATGTTGTGGTTATTATTGCTATTGATCTTTCATTATAAAGATGCTATTCCAATTTTCTCTTCCTGGAAAAATGAGTGTTTGGAGATGGGGAATCCGTTATGATGACGAGGTTGATGATGATGAAAGGCTTAATTGGGTCAGCAAATGATATTTAGTAGAGTAAGGGATAAGATTGGAGGTTATCTGTTCCAAAATTGGGAATGTATTCGCGTTTGAATTATTGCCTTTAGTAAGAAAAAGCTAGGCAAAGAATGGTATTCTTTTCACTGTTCTTGTTTTGTTCTTTTTATCTGTGGCTTATAAATATCTATTCTCTTCTTAAACCAAATGCTAAAGAACAAGGAGATCATTGAATTTCTCAACTACCATGTTTCATCTTCAAAGAAAGTTTTATCTACCATAATCTGTTTTACTATCTTGATGTTCTGCTATCACTCATTTCTCATTCCAAAACTTGTGTTGGTTTGGTTTCTCCTTGCAGGAGCACGCTCTGACTCCGCAATCCAATCTCTATTCTTTAGGGGTACAACTGGTCCAACATTGAGTCAGAATTTTCAGTCCTTCCGGTAGTCATAAGACATATTTTCTTGCGTTTTTTCCCTTTGACCAGATGGCATGTTTACCTTTGGTTTGTTTGGCCTTTCAGAGTGTTTGTGGCAACATGGAATGTAGGAGGCAAATCTCCTCCTAGCGACTTAAATCTTGATGATATTCTTCCGGATCATAATCAATCAGACATATATGTTTTAGGGTACTCTCTCTAACTTCATTTTATTTTCATGTCAACCACGATCAATAATCAATTTACTCTTTTGTAACTACTAATTTCTTCTTCCCAATCATAAAAGTTAGGAGATGATTTGAATAAAGTTAAGATACTTTTCTCTCTTCATCGGTTATTCATGCTTTTTACTGTATCCCTTGCCTTTTGTTTTAATCAAATATCTGGCTCTAGCTAAGATGCTTTATATTGAGCCTGAGAAGCTTCCCACAAAATTTGGTTTAAATTATATCTATACTTAAATAATCTAGATGCTTGAAACATGTCCACCAAGGTTTCCTTCTCTGATTAAGTTGTTTTGAATTGTCAGTTTTCAGGAAATTGTCCCATTGAATGCAGGAAATGTGTTAGTTATAGAAGATAATGAGCCTGCCGGAAAATGGCTAGCTTTAATTAATCAGTCACTGAACAAACAACAGACAGCAGGTAGAGGAATTAAATCCACTGCCTCACTTGGTGGCCCACTGTTCTTTCAAAGGCAATCCCTCAGAAAGATCAGTGAAGCTTTCAGGACAGAGAGTAAGAGGAGGTTGAAGAGTTGCAACTGTGCCTCTGAATTGGAAAAGAAATATAGTAAGGAGTTTTGTTGTCCACGCCCACAGTCGAACATAAATGAAGGTGAACTTTCTTCAGAAGAGGATGAAGATGGATCTAGCAACATTAGCACCAACCAGATGAAGTATGGACTTGTAGCAAGTAAGCAAATGGTGGGTATTTTTGTCACAATTTGGATGCGACGAGAGCTTATTCAACATGTGAGTCACTTGAGGATCTTCTGTTTCAGTCGTGGCATCATGGGCTGCCTTGGAAACAAGGTAATTTGGAAATTTAATTGCTCTAAAAATGGATCAGTTTTTCTATAAGTAACTCCTTTTCATACATCTGAGATAATATTTGTTCTGAGGCTGCAGGGGTGCATTGCTGTGAGCATGTGTTTCCATCAGACAAGCTTTTGCTTTGTATGCAGTCATCTGGCATCTGGAGAGAAAGAAGGAGATGAGCTTAGGAGAAATTCAAATGTGTTGGAGATACTTAGAAACACACAATTCCCAAGGATTTGCAGAACATCTCAAACTAGGGTGCCTGAAAAAATTCTGAAACACGAGTGAGCATCTATGAAACCATTAAGAGAAGATTTCAAAGTCTTTGAAAATTATCATTCCTGTTTATTTATACATGATCTCTGAGTATCCTTTTTCCCTTGGAAAATTGGCCCTAGTCGTGTTATATGGCTAGGGGACTTGAATTACAGGATTGCCTTGAGCTATTTGGAGACTATAAATTTTATGCAACAGAACAACTGGGATGCATTGCTTCACAAAGATCAGGTAACTTGGAGAAAGGTCATGTGCTCATATTGTATAACTATTGCCTAAAATTAGAAGGAAATCAGTACTACCATTTCCTCAATTATACCAGCTTCAGTTTTTCAGCTGTTGCAAAATTTCAGTATTTGCTGCTAATATAAATTTAATTGTTTTCTGGTTTTTTAGCTCAAGATTGAAAGGGATGCAGGGCGAGTATTCAAAGGATGGGAGGAAGGAAAGATCTTTTTTGCACCAACATACAAGTACTCTTTCAATTCTGATAGTTATGCTGGAGAGACAATAGAAACAAAAAACAAGAGGAGAACACCAGCATGGTATGTACATGACAAACGTCGATAAAGATTACGAATTTTACACAGTAACTTACCATAGTTAACACATTCAGGTGTGATAGAATACTATGGCATGGAAATGGAATTCATCAGCTTCACTACATTCGTGTAGAGACCCGGTTTTCTGATCACCGTCCTGTATATGCAACATTTATTGTGGATGTTGAGGTTACTGAAGGCAGATTTGGGAGGAAACTATCTGGCACAAATATATAAATTGGAACTGAAGAATGAAGAGCTTTTACCTCCCTCTTACCAGTAGATAAGTGCCTCAAATAAACAAACTCGTAAGAAATGGCAGAGTAATGGCATCAATTGTGGTTTGCTAAGGACCGCAAAGGTGGGTCATTGTACATGGCTATTTCAGTGAGGGCAAGTCTCATCAGTTCATGGCCTTGAAAAGAAAAAAGCAAAAAAAAAAAGTATAGGGTGCAAAAGAAGGTTTCTTTCTTCTTTCTTTCGTTTATTTTTATTTTTTAAGAAATATTTTCAATTTAAAATTTTGCCCCTTTTTTTTCATTATTTCTCCATTTATTTGTTGGAAAATAATAATTCAGTGATTTGGGTATTTGACTGGAAGCCCAATGTCATATGGGGCAACCGGCATCATATTCTGGACTTCTGAACTGGGTTTCGTATGAGCAAAACCCTGACCTTTTTAGAACACAATTTTACAGTTACAGGCTTACAGCATCAGCTTCACCAAATATTTTTACGGTAGATGGTGCAAATTATCCTTCAATATTTTTGAATTGAAGTAAATTAGTACTTTAAAAATAATTGAAAAAAAATCTCTACCTCAAATTTTTATTTTAAAGAAATAGAACTAAATTTAATGAAATTATTATTTTTATATTAAACTATTACTCTTTAAGTTTAATAAAAAAATTAATGTCAACGGTTAAATTTTGGGTAATTTTTCTGAACTAAAATTTTGGGTTGACAATTAGTTGCGTTTATGCAGATTTCATGCTGTTGCAGCTTTTTAGTATGTTGTCATGGATGCTTTTTATTATAATAAATATTTAAAGATTTTTTTTTTTGATAAATATAAATATTTAAAGATTGAACTAAGTAAAGAAGGCCTGCTCCAATCAAACCAGCCCATCATTGTTAGTTCTCCTTTTTAATATCTTAGTTTTGTTATATGCTTTTTCAAACATTTTTCTTAGTTTAGTTTAGTTTTATGCCACCCCACCTTAATTATTTTTATTTTGATTTGAGTATCGTCATTGATATATTTTATTTATTGCAATTCAATTCACAAACCTTTTATCAAATTAATGTTTTTTTAGCCTTTTGGTTAAGTTTTTTTATTCATGTTGCCAATATACTGTTCATACTTTCAACAATCTAGTTTTTTGGATTATGCTATACACTATCTTTTTCACTATTTTTTTAAAAATTTTAATTAATAAACTAACATTTTAACTTTAATTGTGAGTTCTTCTTGCACAATTATTAATAGATTTTTATGCAAAAATATATCCCTATTTTAACAAGAATCGTTTGCTTACAACACATTTCATAATTTATTTACCTGTCCCTCTTCCTTCAACTTGCAGTTGGGTTCCTCATTTGAAAGTACTGATTGCCGAGAATTCTTCTTTTTAACTCTAAGCAAAGTAAGTGACAAATTTTCGCAATCCCATCTATTATGAAACTAAAAAGAGAGGTTTTATAGACAATGCAACTGTACATGAAATACTAACACCATGATTCAATTGCTGTGGACCGCCGAGGAAGACGATCAAGTGGGAACAAATTTAGAAATTAAATTGCAGATTTACCTTCGAGAATTCGAGTACTTGTCTGTCTCAAGCTTCTAAAAAACATTCTTTGCAGCATATAAATTAATTAGGTTAAAAGATTTTTCAAGATCTTGATCCTATTTAACCTATGTTTATATGAGGAAATTTCTAAAGATTAAGGTGACGTTATATCACACCTTCAATTACTAATGTTGTACTTTTAATTATTAATGTCATATTTTTTAATTTTAATTAATTATTATACTTTTTAATTTATCAAGATACAAAAAAATGTATAATTTTTTTTAAGAAAAAGAATAATGTTGAGGTATAATAAGTAATTACACTAAAAAAATGTAATATTAACTATTTAAAATGTAATGATAATCTCATCCGAAAATTAGAGAAATATTAACACGAAACTTTCATAATATGATGATTATGTGTTTGCTTTCACTCCGAACATTGCACACCTTATTAGTCTCTTTCCAAATAGGAGTAACTACTTGCCAACCGCGCCTGTGGCCCAATTGGTTGACCCCCAAACTTTAGGACTTGGGTGAGGCGGAGGTTAGGGTTTCGAGCTCTGCCACCGCCGTGAACTCTACCAACTTGCGACCTAATGGTTGCACCGCCTCAAATGAGAGGTGAAACGTTCACTTTCTTGGAAAAATTCCAGCTGCTAACAAACTAACTCTACTAACTTCCTAACCATCTACCTGGTCAAAAAAAAGAAAAAAGAGTAACTACTTATATTGACTTTTTTTAAAAAATAAAAATAAAAATTTTAGATAATTTATGTGTTTAACCATAATATTTTTTTTTAAAAATAAAACAAATATAGAGAGATTTTTTTATTTGAAATAATTAATTAAAGTAAATAGATA